TTATCGGTGGCTCTCTCTCTTTGTCTCTGTCTCTTTGTCTCTGTCTCTGTCTCTCTGTCTCTGTCTCTGTCTCTGTCTCCTCCCCCCGTCTCTCTCTCCCCCCCCCCCCCCGTGGTCCTGCCTTTCTCTCATTCTCCTTGCGTCCTCCTCTACCTTCTTGTTCCTCAGCGTGTTGAGGTGGGAGGAACGTGAGAAGCTGAGGCGGAAGACGCAGACCTGAGGGAAGTTTCCGACCTGAGAGAATGTGATGAGATAAAGAGCAAAGAAACAGAAAAAGTGAGGATAAAGACAAGACAAGACAAGACAAGACAAGACAAGACAAGACAAGACAAGACAAGACAAAGGCGACACAAAGGCATCACAGTGTCTTACTTCTCCTCGTATCACTTCTCCGATTCTGATGTCTGCCCGGTGAACGACTTGATCTTGCTGTCACAAGGTTGACCTGACGACATACAAGACAGTCCAGTCACCTCAAGATGAAGCTTGCTCGCTCTTTCTCCTCGATATCCCGAATTTCTGTTCTGTCCGTGGCACAGGGGGTTGAGACGAACGGAAGGGGAAAAGTAGAGGAAAAGTAGGAGGTGGAGGACGTGGAGGACGTGGAGGAGGTGGAGGTGGTGGAGGAGAAGGAGGAAGAGAGCGAGAAAGGGAGGGAGGGAGGGAGGGAGGGAGGGAGGGAGGGAGGGAGGGAGGGAGGGATGAGGTGCTGTTACATCTTTTGCAAGTGCGAGTCTTGCAATCTTTCTTGACATCTTGGTGTTGGTCAGGTCAAGTCTTTTGACCCTCTCAAGGACTTCTTTCTCCTGTTTGTCCAATCAGAACAGGAAGTGTCAGTGTCCATATAGAACTTCTCCTGCTCCTTCTCCTCTCGACAATCATCATCATCATCATCATCATCATCATCATCATCATCATCATCATCATCATCACCATCATGATCATGATCAGCATTAGCATCATTATCATGCAAGGCAAGGAGCTGGCAGCACGTCTCTGACCTCATCCAGGGAGAAGATGGGAGAGTTCGGAGCTCTTTGCAGGTTCTTGTGGGACTTGAACATCGGATTATGGTCGGTCAGAGTGTTGGCAGTCGCAGCTGTTGGAGGAAAATGATAAGAAAGCATACAAGTTCCTTTAACCTGAGAGAGCCGCGCTCGTTTCTGCCTCTGCTGCTACTCTACCTTCATACTTCCTTCCCTGTCTCAAGCTTGCTCCTTCTCCCTTTTCCCCAGTTACGTTGTCCTTGTCCTTGTCGTCTCCTCTTTCTCATTGTCATCAGATTGTACGAGGGATCTTTACCTGACATAACACGATCTTGTGTTCTGATCACAGTCTTTGACATCTTCGGCTGCATCGCTTCTTCACCTTGCACGTCACCTTGTCTTGTTGTTGCACTCTGATTAGGGTCAAGATGTTCATATCGCACAAATACCTCTCGTTCTCTTCCTCCTCCTCCTCCTCCTCCTCTCCCTCGTCTTCATCGTCCTCTCCCTCAACAAGGCCTTCAAGACTGTGATCTGCTTCCAACACATCGTCCACAATCTTGGGGTCCTCCGAGCCCTGTTGGTCACATCCAAGTCAGAATTCCTTTGGTGCTCTATAGAGGGTCACCAAGAATCTGGACTTCCGCTTCTGAAAGTTCTTCCCAAACGCTTGCATCTACAGCACAGGAGCTCAGAGACATGGCACCGGCAGCCCCCCCCTAGCCGCTGACGTTGGTGGGGACGATGAAGGTCGAGTTGGGGCATACAGGGCTCTCAGAGTACTTCTGAAGATGCTGGACCATAGTCAGCAGCCATTCTCCAGCAAGCTCTCTCTGTCTCCCTCCCACCCACATTCTCTCCCTCCATCCCTCCCGCCCTCCCTCCCTACCTCCTCTAAACCTGGATCCGAAGCTGCGAAAGGACTGCTCCACATGGACCACAAGACGAAAGTCGACGACGTCCACCTTATGCTCTGCAGACTT